ATCAACTGCAGTTGGAACTGGTATTTCAGCCTTGTCCATCCTATCTACAGGACTTGGCGTTTTCTCTTTCTCAAGTTTGTCAACAGTTGGTTTTTCATCGACTGCAGTAAGAACTGGTTTTTCATCCTTGTCCATCTTATCAACTGGGCTTGGCGTTTTGTCTTCCTCAAGTTTGTCAACAGTTGGTTTTTCATCGACTGCAGTAAGAACTGGTTTTTCATCCTTGTCCATCTTATCAACAGGGCTAGGCGTTTTATCTTTCTCAAGTTTGTCAACAGTTGGTATTTCATCAACTGCAGTCAGAATCGGTTTTTCCACCTTGTCCATTTTATCAACAGGGCTTGGCGTTTTATCTTTCTCAAGTTTTTCAACAGGTGATTTTTCATCGACTGCAGTCAGAATTGGTATTTCAGCCTTGTCCATCTTATCATCAGGGCTAGGCGTTTTCTTTTTCTCGAGTTTGTCTACAATTGGTTTTTCATCAAATACTGTTGGAACTGGTATTTCAGCATTGTCCATTTTATCATCAGGGCTAGGCGTTTTATCTTTCTCAAGTTTGTCAACAGTTGGTATTTTATCAACTGCAGTCAGAATCGGTTTTTCCACCTTGTCCATTTTATCAACAGGGCTTGGCGTTTTATCTTTCTCAAGTTTGTCAACAGTCGGTTTTTCGTCGACTACAGTTGGAACTGGTATTTCAGCCTTGTCCATTTTATCAACAGGACTTGGCGTTTTATCTTTCTCAAGTTTGTCAACAGTTGGTATTTCATCAACTGCTGTCAGATCGAGTATTTCAACCTTGTCCATTTTATCAACAGGGCTTGGCGTTTTACCTTTCTCAAGTTTGTCAACAGTCGGTTTTTCGTCGACTACAGTTGGAACTGGTATTTCAGCCTTGTCCATTTTATCAAGAGGGCTTGGCGTTTTGTCTTTCTCAAGTTTGCCAACAGTTGGTTTTTCATCAACTGCTGTCAGATCGAGTATTTCAACCCTGTCCATCTTATCAACAGGGCTTGGCGTTTTGTCTTCCTCAAGTTTGTCAACAGTTGGTTTTTCATCAATTGCTGTCAGATCGAGTATTTCAACCCTGTCCATCTTATCAACTGGGCTTGGCATTTTGTCTTCCTCAAGTTTGTCAACAGTTCGTATTTCATCAACTGCAGTTGGAACTGGTATTTCAGCCTTGTCCATTTTATCAACAGGACTTGGCGTTTTACCTTTCTCAAGTTTGTCAACAGTCGGTTTTTCGTCGACTACAGTTGGAACTGGTATTTCAGCCTTGTCCATTTTATCATCAGGGCTTGGCGTTTTATCTTTCTCAAGTTTGTCAACAGTTGGTATTTCATCAACTGCAGTCTGAATCGGTTTTTCCACCTTGTCCATCTTATCATCAGGGCTTGGCGTTTTCTCTTTCTCAAGTTTTTCAACAGGTGATTTTTCATCGACTGCAGTCAGAATTGGTATTTCAGCCTTGTCCATTTTATCAACAGGGCTTGGCGTTTTATCTTTCTCAAGTTTGTCAACAGTTGGTTTTTCATCAAATACTGTTGGAACTGGTATTTCAACCTTGTCCATCTTATCAACAGGGCTAGGCGTTTTCTCTTTCTCAAGTTTGTCATCAGTTGGTTTTTTATCAACTGCTGTCAGACCTGATATTTCAACCCTGTCCATCTTATCAACTGGGCTTGGCGTTTTATCTTTCTCAAGTATGTCAACAGTTGGTATTTCATCAATTGCAGTCTGAATCGGTTTTTCCACCTTGTCCATTTTATCAACAGGGCTTGGCGTTTTTTCTTTCTCAAGTTTGTCAACAGGCGGTTTTTCGTCGACTACAGTTGGAACTGGTAATTCAGCCTTGTCCATTTTATCGACAGGGCTTGGCGTTTTGTCTTTCTCAAGTTTGCCAACAGTTGGTTTTTCATCAACTGCTGTCAGATCGAGTATTTCAACCCTGTCCATCTTATCAACTGGGCTTGGCGTTTTGTCTTCCTCAAGTTTGTCAACAGTTCGTATTTCATCAACTGCAGTTGGAACTGGTATTTCAGCCCTGTCCATTTTATCAACAGGACTTGGCGTTTTATCTTTCTCAAGTTTGTCAACAGTTGGTATTTCGTCAACTGCAGTCTGAATCGGTTTTTCCACCTTGTCCATTTTATCAACAGGGCTTGGCGTTTTACCTTTCTCAAGTTTGTCAACAGTCGGTTTTTCGTCGACTACAGTTGGAACTGGTATTTCAGCCTTGTCCATTTTATCAACAGGGCTTGGCGTTTTGTCTTTCTCTAGTTTGCCAACAGTTGGTTTTTCATCAACTGCTGTCAGATCGAGTATTTCAACCTTGTCCATCTTATCAACAGGGCTAGGCGTTTTCTCTTTCTCAAGTTTGTCATCAGTTGGTTTTTTATCAACTGCTGTCAGACCTGATATTTCAACCCTGTCCATCTTATCAACTGGGCTTGGCGTTTTATCTTTCTCAAGTATGTCAACAGTTGGTATTTCATCAATTGCAGTCTGAATCGGTTTTTCCACCTTGTCCATTTTATCAACAGGGCTTGGCGTTTTTTCTTTCTCAAGTTTGTCAACAGGCGGTTTTTCGTCGACTACAGTTGGAACTGGTAATTCAGCCTTGTCCATTTTATCAACAGGGCTTGGCGTTTTGTCTTTCTCAAGATTGCCAACAGTTGGTTTTTCACCAACTGCTGTCAGATCTGGTATTTCAACCCTGTCCATCTTATCAACAGGGCTTGGCGTTTTATCTTTCTCAAGTTTGTCAACAGTCGGTTTTTCGTCGACTACAGTTGGAACTGGTATTTCAGCCTTGTCCATTTTATCAACAGGGCTTGGCGTTTTGTCTTTCTCAAGTTTGCCAACAGTTGGTTTTTTATCAACTGCTGTCAGAACTGGTATTTCAACCTTTTCTATCTTATCAACAGGACTTGTCGTTTGATATTTTTCAAGTTTGTCAACAGCCGGTACTTCATCAACCGCACTTAGAATTGGTTTTCCAACCGTTGTAGCTATGTCAAGATTGCTTGCTATTTTATTTTTAATCAGTTCGTTAATACTTTGTTTTTGATCAGTTGCAGTAGAAACTGGTGGTTCAAGCTTGTTCATCTTATCTACAGGGCTTTCTTTTTTCTCATATACCTCAGTTTTTGTAGGTTCTTTAAGTTTTTTAGTTTGTGGACTTATTGATGTTTGTATTTTTCTTTCTTCGGTAGATGTTTGAAGGTAAGAAATGTGCTGTCTTCGTTTTGTTACTGCCGAGCCATTTGGATATTCATCAGTTTTGACTTCTGTTATCGTCCACTTGAAGACTTTTTGACTCATATGCATAAATGCTTGTTTCACCGTCGTTGTTATTATTTTTTGCCTTATTGTTATTGTATTTTTTGTAACAAAGGTCATTTCTTTAGTTTCTGATACCTGTGGTTCGTCTATTGGTAGAAAACTTTCATATTTTCTATTTTCGTTGTTCTGTATTAGAATACCTTTAAGTTCCTCTAATTCTTTATTTATATCTGCTATTGCTATACTTTGTTCGTGTTTTGAACTTGTCGAGCCCTCTGGAGTTTTATCGATGACTGTAGTTGACGTAGTTATCATAACTTTAAAAGTAGCAACTTTTTCATGGTAATACATAGTTTTTGTTATTTTAGTCATAATAGTTCGGTAAATCGTTATATTATTTTTAGTAATTGTTTTAATACCACTTATTTCGTATTCTTCAGGTTCACTAATCTGAACAAGTTCTTTTCGTAAATTCTCCGCCTCTTTTTCGTTTATTATTCGACTAGCACCATCTGTATGAGTTATAGATGATATCACATCGTCTATAATACTTTCACATAATTCATTTATAGGAGTTCTCTCGACTTTATCTGTCACAGAAATAATATCGGAGATATATATATCAGTTTCAACATTAGTTTTATAAGATCCATCCGGTTGTTGGTCTTTAGTGACTGTTGTTTTTAAGGTCTTCAACTTTACTAACAACCCATTCTTATTGCTGTACTTTGTTTTGATTATCTTAGTTACAATATTTCTTTGCACTGTAACATGTTTTGTCGTAATTACACAATCTTTAACTGTTTCAATGCATTCAGGTTCTCCATATGTAATTAGATCTTTGAGAACTATTTTTAAAGATTCATTGTCAGTTTTGATAGGCTGAGAAATTTCTTTGTAACTCCGAACATTGTAATCGTGTTCCATATCTTCAACCAACCCAAGCATTTTCTTCTCTGTCATAACAGATTTTTGTGTAACCATATGTAACTTTTCGGTGTAATTCTTTATATCATCTAAATCATCAAAAGTAGTACCTCCATCAAAAGGTATCACTTTATCATAATATTCTTGTACAATACTATCTTTTTCTAAACCTACTTGCTTTTCGTCAAGTTTGTCAGAAACGATATTACTTAATGATAAAATTTCTTCGCTGACATCCATTTTTTGATCGTCGCGTGAATCGAATATTTTTGGTTTTTCTTTCAATTCTAAACTTGTTTCCGAGCTGACCCTCTCTTCAGTTTCTGATGGGATTTCTAACGATGTCGGTGTTAAGAGAACTTTTTTGTCCTGTTCGGTTATGTCTCTGTCTTCAGATTTTTTATCAAAGTCAGTCACCTTCTCAGAAGAAAGTTCTTCTTCAAAAACTTCTTTGAGAAGAAACTCTGATTTTTTATCTTCACTCATTAAATGTGAATCGATGGTGGTTACTACTTGTGATTCTTTTCTCTCTACAATACCTTCTTTTGATTGTAGCTCTTTTTGGGTGCTTTCTTCTTTCTTTTTCAAATCTGCTATTTTTTCCTCTAACTTCTCTAAAGTTTTAGCGGAATCTAATGTTATACTCAATCGTTTTTCTTGTTTCTCATCAGTGATGTCACTCAAATGTTTTTGAACTTCGCCATTCTCTAGTTTTTGTTGTTTAAGTTGTGGTTTTCTTACTTCACTTTCCATAAGAGTACTTATTTCTTCTGTATCAAGTTTTGAGTCACGTTTCATTTTCTTTTCATCGCTCAACACCGTTTTGTCTGATACGTCACTAACTTCTTCAGATGTAAGTGATCTCATTGGAGATATTTCTTTACTATGTACATCGTCGAATTTCTTAAAACCTTCTGGAGATTTTCGAAATATGGGTGATTTTTCTGCTATTAGTTCATCTAGGCTTTTATCTGATTTAAGGACTTGTGCTACGTCAGCTACTATCCGCTCCACATCCTTAGGACTAAGGGAAGGTTTTTCCAATGTTTCTAACTTATGTTCTTCCTCAATTTCTTTTTCCACATCTTCAGGTATTGAAGGTATTTTTTCTGGTACTGTTTGAGTATCATCGATAGTTATTATTTCGTCTTTTATTGGTGAATCCAAGGTTGTAATATGAGTTTCTCGTAACTGTTCCGTGTACTGGCCGTACATATATTCATTATCATCGTATTCCTTGACTGGTTCCAAATCTTTTCCAGGAATCATTGGAACTTTTGTTTGATCATGATACATCGGGGACTCTGGCGCTGAGCCCGGGGTCACAGTAACAACTTCAGGGTGAGACGGACGTTCAATCGTCTTAATGACAACATCATCCTGTATTGTTCTAGACAATGCGTCTTTAATTGGAAGATCTTTAGGAACTTTTAAGTCTTTCTGTATATCTACATCTGTCTTTTGTTTAAACACATTTTCTTCAATCGGCGTTTTCTTTTCTTCATATGTTCTGTAGTCTACCTCTTCGTGCAAGGGAAGGTCAGCAACTTCATCGGGCGTTTTTACAACGTCTCGGAGAGGACCTGGTTGCGGTTCCTTTATGGGAATTCTTTCAGATACTGGTGGTTTACTATCAATAAATGGTCGGGGCACATGTATTTCCTTGGTTTCTTCTCTAATATGCTTTTCTTCAACATGCTGATCTTCTTTTATTTCGTCTAATGTTATACGTTCATCTTCAGGCAGAGTAGGCGCCGTGGTGGCCCCTGATTCCACCGTAGTGGAAATTTTTTCATCTGGTTGTGACTCTTGTACAATATTAAGATCTAGCGAGTCCTTGGCTTTCAAAAGTCCGCTTTTACTATCTGTTGTCTTCTTTTCACTGCTAATATCTTGTTTTTCCTCTAAACTTTCTGAATGTTCTTTTGAATCATGCTTAACTTCCTCCTTAGTTATTTTCTCTGTTTCTATTTTTGATGTTATTTTATCTTGGCCAGTTAAATCCTCTTTTTTCTTTTCAGATTCCTCTTTGTCTTTTATATGCTTTATTAGATCTGCGTCTTTTTCTGGACTAAGCTCCTGTTCTACAATAGAATCTTCGGTATATTGATCAACTTCTTCCTTTTCTATTATTAAATATTCCTCTTCAAACTCAGTGTCAGGAGGCACGTCCGTTTTTGTGTCGTCTATGAGGCATGTAATCTTTTCTATATCTGAACGCCCAACATATTCTATTTTTTCTTCAGCTTCGCTATCTCTATTAAATACAGCTTCTATTTCTCTTACAATTTCCTGTTCCTCTCTTTCATCCAGTTCTTGTTGTTTTATGTCGTCAAGTGATTTAGATGTATCTTCATCTGATTTTTTAGCGTCTTTTAATATATCTTCATAATTTACTCTCTGTAGCCCCTTCAATTTCGCAGTATCGCTTTTAGTTGCCTTGACAGCTTTTGTGGGGCTTTTCATAGACTTTAAACCCTTTATAGGAGAGCCAAGCGGCCTTGGACGTCGAGAAATAGGTTCGCGCTTCGGTTTCATTTCCTTTTTATCGGAAGGTTTTTGAGGAATATCTCTCTTAGGAGATGATTGTTTGTACTTAGATTCGACAACTCTACGGTTGCTGGCTTCTTTTACACTTTTGGCAGGTGTAGTAATTGGACTTTGTCGTCTACTCTTACCTTTCATTTTTTCTTTGCTTATAATATTCGTAATTGACTTAGATTCAATCGATTTCTTCGGTGTGGTAGGAGGAGACTTTTTGTCGTCCAAAGCGGTGCGTTTATCGCTTATTGCGGACGTTACCTTCTTTTGAGTTGTTCTGTGACTAATTTTACCTTTGATGACTGTACTTGGCGTTTCAGGCTTTGCTTTTAATTCCGATTTTTTCTTACTATCGGGTTTTATTTTCGCTTCGGTTTCCACTTTCTTAAGTTCAGCCGTTTTTGTTATTGACTCTTTATTATCATCAGTTCGTTTAGCCTTTTTATCTATGGGCTTTTCTTTCTTTTTAGTGTCCCTCTTTTTCGGTAAGCCATCAACAACAGTGCTTTCGTATTGTGCGAATTTGTCATCTAATTTAGAATCCATTCTTGCAGCAATTGCTTCTTGCAAAACCGATTCAATTTTTTTATCTTCGCCATCGACCAATTCATTTAATAATTTATTGTCAATTAAGTTTTTAGAATCAATACCATCTTTGATTGTCTTAATTTTTGTCTGTTCAGTTTCGTGTATTTTTTCGTCTTTTGGCTTCGTTTCTGTGATAATACTTCTTTCTTTACTTTTTACTTGTTTCGTTTTGATCGCGGACACTACCGTAGGTGCGGTGGGAGCTGCAACAGGAGCGGGTGCCGGCGCGGCGGCAGTCGCTAATTGGCGGCCGGTGCACGTGGGATGCTGAAGTATCTCCAAGTGTTTTAACTTTTCGAGACCTTCGAATATTTTATGTTGAGGCGTAGAACCGGGGAACATTATTCTAGTTATCGTATCATCAGGGTTAGCAGGACGCCACACGAGTAAAGCACATATCGACACTAGATTAGGAATGGGAAAGTTAAATTGTCCTGACACACTAGCGCCTTCGAACAACTTTTGTTCGCTACTGTGCCATCGTTTCAGGAATTCACGAACGTGTTTTGAGTCCTTGGACGGATTCAGTACGTACATGTCGAGAGTACCTGGGAACAAGAAATATGTTTCTTATTTTTTTCAGTAAGCGAGAGAAAATAGCCTAATGGTTAAGGGTACGGATTTCCTACCTCGAGGTCGGGGGTTCGAATCCCGCCATTCGACTATTGTCGTAAACCATATCCTAGCACAAGTCAAGAGCTTAGTTGGAGTGATTAATAAATTTAAAAAAATCTGCTAATTTTAACATAAAAAAATGAAGTAAATTTGTAATAGAAATACGATAATTTTTAGGAAGTAGAAATAAGATATTGCACATTTGTGCAATCACTTAAAAGTGTTAGAAATATTTCATGCGACAACACGACTTACCATGACCAACTTTATGGTACAAGTTGATGGGTTCGGGGCTTCGGTAGCAGTGTTGAGGTTTCAGATTAATATGTCGTAGGTCTGCCATCATGTCGGATCCCTCTTGCAAAAGGGACACAAGTAGGGGATCGGTGTCCTTGTCACCATCGGGACTTGTCACAGCTCGTCGCTCCTGGAATTAATATAAAATATGTTTGAAAAGTTACAGTATATAATTTAACTCCTATGGATAGTTACTTCTTTCATATATTCAGCGTAAGTTAACCCTACCCAGTCTGCTAAGTTGTAAGAGCATATTGTACTTACTTCTAGGTTGCAGAAGAAGTGTCCAATCTGAGGGTACACATTGGCGGTAGCCTTGCGGCGCAGTACGGCAGCCATGCCGGCAGCCGAGCAGTTATTCAGCCGCGTCAGCAGCACAGCGTCCAGCCGGTCCAAGTGCCGGGCGAAATCCCACCAGCACGCCTTACGCGAGAACCCACCATCCACTGAAATGTTCAACAACACATTGTTAAATTACACCGTATCTTTCTATCTTTCAGTATATACCTTAATGGATATAACCAATGGGATGCAAATAAAAATTTAACATAAAATCAGATTCAAAATGGCGTTACAGAAATAAATAATAAAATTAAATAGAATCGGATGCGCTATTCGTTTTTACAAAGAGCAAATTGTTTGTTTGGATTTTTATTTAAACGATAAAACTTAATATATTTTCTGGAGTATATAATATAATATATTTCTTAATATACAGGTTGTCTCAAAAGGCTACGTACATAGGAAGGGGGATGATAGTGGTGGTCACAAGGGTCACCAGAAAAATAAAAATGTTGTAACCAATGACCTACAAATATTACTACATTTAAAAAAAAAGCTATTATGTTATCGTCAATAACCCTTTATCAATATGAAATAAAAAAAAAACAATACAACTAACAAAGATTTTAAAGAAAATTTAAATTGCCCCAGAAGGTGTAACATTTTTAAGTTTTTAAAAAATGCCATTTTTTTTAATACCCAGAGGGGAATTTTTATTTTATTTTTCTGGTGACCCTTGTGACCACCCCTATCATACCCCTTCCTATGTACGTAACCTTTTGGGACAGCCTGTATAATTTATTTAAAGACTTGAACAGTTGTAAATCTATTTTTCTCGCCTTTTCTCAAGACCACTTGCTTGTTTGTTAAGTTAGTTTATAAACTAACCGTTACAATATTATGATTATCCACAATGTCTTGGTTATTTTATTGTTTAATAATTAACATTTTGTGAGCGTGTAAATGAGTGCTCTGAGAAATTGTAATTACAACCCGCTTTTAGTGTAACGAGTAAATTGTGAGGCAACTTTCATAGTTTTCATTAATTAAAATATGCCCCGAGGAAGTTTTGTACACAGAGCGGTATTTAATATGAAAAAGTTCCCTCCGTAACATTTCAGATAATGTTAGTGTTCTCGTAATTTCATTCTGCAGACGGAGGGTTTATTTTTTTTTACAAGATGTTCTTGGCTTTTTGCCAGCCAGTGTCCGCAGCAACTGAGATGTTTTTTTTATTCCATCTTGAGCTAATGGCGGTTTTGTTCAACATGTTGCCTATCTTTTTTATGAATAAAAAAAGGGGACAAAAATGTCAAAAGCTAATTGACTAGGTTCATACATTATTTTGTCTGTAGCTTGACTCTTTTAAAAAATGTACTACTAGTCGAAAAAAAAATTTCTGGAAAATAATTAAATCTTTTTAAGTTCATGTTTTAATTTTTAATATCAGATGAAAGCTTAGCAAGATTTATCGACTAGTCACATTCTCAATGCATGTCTTAAATACAATGATTACAAGAAATTCAGTAAGAGCTTAGCTATTGAATTATTAAATGTCCATCGCTCGGCAGCTAAGGGTCAGACTGAGAGATCTTTTTGTCAACGCAGTATTGGATTTGGCTGCGGGCCAAGTATCGAGAGCCAGTCGAGGTCAGAGAAGGCGGGCTGTTAAGTGACACGATATATTTTTTTATTTGTATTGCCAAAGATATTTGCCTTTATACTTATATAAGTCTTTTACGCTAATATTTATAACAAGTAAAGGAGTAACTAAGCTAAAATATTTTTTTCGTCATCTCTTCAAAGAAATGTATTTGTCAATCAGTAGAATTCTGAAATTATTAAACTTGCAATTTTTGTGCTGTATACGTATACTACAGTAGATTGCTATTCAATCAATGTTCCAATACATGGATTGACATAAATTCTTAACAGTGGTAGAGCGAGCTTTAACATCTTCGCACGAATAGTCCCGGCTCGCCCGGTGAAATACCACGACCACATAGAAGACACGCGTCAAGTGGAAGCAATTCTGCGTTTCGTCTGATGGCCTTTTTCGTCCCGGAGGCCTAATATAGTCATCTTTCCCTTCCCACCCTTTTTCTTATAAGGAAAGGATGGGAAGTGGAAGTGGACTTTCCAGATGAGAGGACGCATGGGAAGGGAAAATATTTTCTTACTGTGCATCCTCTCCTCCGTCGATTAAAGGTAGGCAACGCATATGCAATTGTGTATGTCTATGGGCAACGGTCACTTCGCTATTTCAGCGATTTCAGGTGACCGCTCACTCGTTTGCCACCTTATGATATAAACAAAAAAAATCATGTGGTTTGTTCTTCATCAGAACCAACAACTAAGTCAACTTCGCCAGATAAAAATCGGGGATCCGCTGCTATCTCCAACTAATTAATTCTTGATATCGATTCTCGTATATTGTACGTATTTAAAATTTATTACCTAACATGTTGAATCCATTAATTCCGAAGAGCGCAGCATCGCCCTGTCCTCCGGGGAAGACGTACAGTGTGGGGTGGCTGAAACGGATGTTTCCAACCACATCGCTTGAGACCAGCAGCTGCTCGAGGCTTGCTGGCACTATGTAAGGTTCCAGGTAAGCTGCAACACATAATACAGTTAAAACATGTCAAAGATTTATAATTTTTTGATTGAAAATTCCCCAAAAAGTGATGCGAAGATATCTCTTATACTCTCAAATAACAATATCTCACTTCTCTCAACTCGACTCGAATAATATCTATAGGAAACTATCACTAAAAAATATGAAACAAAGCTGCATACGTCTTTTGTATTATATTTGTACGTCGCTTGCGACTCTAATCGTTGGTTTCTGAGACTAAAAACTCTGTTGACAACATAATCTTATCTCTGTTTTATCAAATATAAAGAGAGGGATAACGACATGTTTTAACGGGGATTTTGGTCTCAGAAATTAACTTTAGAATAACTAACGTTTATTTAAAATAGTATGACATTCATAATTTTAATGTGTAATTGAAAATATCAATAATTTTCTGAATAAAGACAATACTAATATTGATATTAAAATTCTTCTGTCGATAACTAATTCTCAGATGAACTGTAATATTAAAACCAACTAATTTTATCGCTAAGTTGATGTATGGGGGATAATTGCACTTTGTTTCAAACAGCTTTAATAAAAGATCTCTCGACGGAACTCGAATTATATTCCATTCAACGCGCCGCAGCACAATGGCGTATTGTTCTGTTATTTCATAATTCCGTTCTCAAAACTTTGTTACTGCGGTACAAAGACTGAAGTTAAAAAGAAATAATCGAAAGGGGTTAATGTTTTGTTTTGGATTTCAATTGGCTATTAGAAGATGGCGATGGTTAGCGATAAAAATGATAAATGTAACAAAAATAATTAATAATTCTACTATTTCAAGTACTCTATCGTCTTGCTAAACTTAACTTGTGTTTTTATTTAAAGTTATTCGTTTTTAAATAGAATTTAAGATTTAATTTACATAATACATTGAAAAAGGTAAAACACTAATCCAAATCTTCGTTCAAATCATTATAGGGAATATGTATTACGTATATTGACTCTAAGATGGACCGATGACCTGGTCAAAGTTGCGGGAGCGTCCTGGATGCGGGTGGCACAAGACCGGTCATCGTGGCGATCTTTGGGGGAGGCCTATGCCCAGCAGTGGGCGTCTAATGGCTGTGTAGATAGATAGATAGATAGATATTGACTCTATATGAACAAAATATATCAAATAGAAGATAAAAACCTTTTATTTTGCATCTCGTAGAATTTCTATTGAACTTTCATATTCTTCACTCGAGCGATGCAATCAAAAGCGCTCCACTTGATTGAACTGAATGTGATTTAACTTTAAACTTCGTTGAACATACGTCTTTGAGATTTTGCAATTTACTTTTACTATTCAATATAAAAGTTCACTTTGCTACGAAAGTAAAGGAAGATCGGAGAAAGTATGGATTGTGTGAAGGAGGATGTATAAGGGAGTGAGATCTGATATTACGACTGATTGAGATGTATGGAAAGACAGTTTGCAGTCACTTTGTAGGAAAAAATACAGGATGACACTTTATTATTACGGTGTATTTTGTGCAGTTCTAAAAATAATTTGTAGTTTTAGACATTAGTTAGAATCAAATAAAGCGAATGGCGAGTTTTCGTTATCAGGTCAAGTGTCAGATTGATTAGTGAGGGGACATAAACGTTGATATTTTAATAAGATTTATTCATGTGGTCTACGAAGCGTAGGCAAATTTTAATCTAGGCGACCTATATAAGTAGCTAGGGATGCTATTAGTTTAGAAATGTCAGGTCAGGTCGTTAATTAAGCGGTGGGTAGCCCTAGTACTAGGTCGATCGCCAACCCTATAGCCCTGTGTCCTTGAGTATATACATTAGAGAGGTTATTTAGGTGAAGCTTAATTAAAAGTTGAGGTTAATTAATTTTTAATTATTTTACATACTGGTGAAGGTTTTCGATGATCAAGCAATTAATTGGTGAGTTTTCTCATGTTTATGATTAAAAAGTAATTACTGGCCATAAATAATTAAAAAGACAAACGCTTCGTAAATTGTGAATTAAAAATTATAACAAATAGCTGTCACCCAAGACTCCGTCCGTGCGGGATTAAAAAAACTTAATTAGTAGCCTGAGTTCTTCCAGACTATATTCTAAAGCTATACCTTTAGCGGGATCCGGCGATACCTTCGAACATACATCCATTCATCCAAATATTCGCATTTATATTAGTAAGATGAAGACGAAAATCTCCATATATTCGAGAAATTATGATAAAGTGTTGAAAATTGTTTCATAATCCCAACCCGTATAGTAAAAGCAATTATAAGTTTGGTACCGCATTGGATAGTTAGTCATGCGGTGTTTTGCGAACTTCAACATACGCGAACAGCGACGTCAAAGTTCTACAAGTAGGTAAAGTCGGTACAGACTAAGGGTGGGTCCCCACTGTACTTACAAACCAATTTCTATCAGTGAAAATAACGGAACCTTTATAGGATCACATTGTTGTCCGAGCGTCTGTCTTTCAAGACCCTTTTTCTCTAGAACGCGTAAAAGTATCAAGCTGGAATTTATTTTTTTAATAAGCGTACTATCAAAAGATTATTTTGCGCCGGCATGAACATTCGCTTCCAGAACGTTCTTAACAAAGACTTACTAAGTTTGCTCATTAAAGAGTCTACACAGCCTTTTGCACTATAATTATTTTTAATTTAATAGCATTTTTACATAAAAACATTGTGCATAAAAAGTAAGATTAAATAGTTTTAGGGGCTTTGTACTTACTAGTAAAATCCTTGATGGCTTTAGAGCCAGAGTCGAGTATATCAGTGGGGTTTACTGTAATCTTGCAGTGCTTGACAAAGGGCATCTGCGGCAGCTTGGCCCAATCACCGGCGGCAGCGCAGTGAATAGTTATCGATATGGAATTCTCGTAGGCGCGAATCACGCGCTGTACTTCATTCTCTTGGTAAGCGTCAGTAAAATCAGCGAGGGAGAATGTCCCGTCCTGAAACAAAAGATTTTTTTTTTAAATATTATGTCACTTAAATTCGTCGAATTAGTGAAGTAACCGCTGTCCATAGACACCCGAAATTGCAAACGCGTCGCTTTAATCGACGGGAAAGGGCACATAAATGGAATATTTCTCCTTCCCATGCGTCAACTTCGTAAAATCCACTTCCCCTTTCTTATCTTTTCCTTATAAGAAAAGGGTGGGAAGGGAAAGATAAGTAAATGTTGTTGTTAGCGTCTATCTCTGTTAAATACAATTGGATATAAGATTTGAGATTTGATTTGTTTTGTTACATGTTATAAATGTACTTTATTTAAAGTTTTTTTTTAAACCATTACTAGAATATTTATATGTCATTAAGTGAGAGATAAAATATGACAAATTATACAGATATTCGTTTGACGTTTGGAAATTAAAAATGGCGGCGAGTGACGTGAGCTTGTGGCGTTAATGTAATTAAAGTGACAGAATTAAAAAAAAACCTCTACATTGTAAACTTGAGAAATTATTTCTTTACATTTAACTATACGATGACATTATCTATTCAACATTCATTGCTTCATTTGCAAACGCAAACTGTAAATTGTACAAACAAACGACGACTTGAATTGCGAAGAATAAATGAATAACTTCAAACGGTCGCAGAGAACGGACATTGTTTATTGTTGAAGAGAATGAAATAAAATAAAATTTTAAACGTGGAATGGAGCGAGTTCTTTTTTTATTTTTGTTCTGTGAACGAGCGCGGCTTGGATGTATTGTAGCTTTGAGAGTCAACTTGTGTCGGGATTTAGTATAAATAGTGTGAAAAAGTATCGTTTTAAAGAAGTTTATGAGAAAAAGGACGTTATTTTTTGAATAAAAATACACTTATTGTTGCCGACAGATACGGAACTTTTTACATATTTTTATTCATAATTGTTATATTTTTGAATTTAGAACTTTATATGTTTTTTCTTCCTTTTTCTTTATTTTAAAACCATCAGTTGTAAATATATTCTTGTAACAGTGCGTGCTTTTCTCCTTATTTCTAATAATTCTATTTAATATTTTCATTTTATCTTTTTATTATATAACATAATATTCCAAAATTCATCTTAATCCTAACGCTCTTCCATCCTTACATATTCCGTCGTCTTTACTTATCATTATATAAATAAAAAATATCTGTAAGAATAAAGACTGAATCCTAATTATTCGCTCAGATATTTTCAGTTTTTTTCTAACTGACTTATTTTTAAAGTTATTTTTTTAATTGTTTTTCCCGTTGCAATTTGTTTCCCTTTAGACCGATTGTAAACATAGAAGACCGATCAGCTCAAGGGGAAACATACTTTTAAATATCGAAAGGAATGTTATTTTAATTCAATATACATAAATTAGTTTTAAATACATCCCTGCTTTAACGGTAGTTCATTCTACATAGAATGTTATTCATCGTTAATTGCTACTTGAATATCTTAAGTATACCTTAACATGTAATATTTTTCTTATAAATTTCTTTTTCCTTTAAGATCCGTCTCAAGTGGTTCGAATAAAATGTCGAGTTGACTAAGAAATATGAAATTCTCTAACTTGTAGAGTCTCTCGAGCGAAATAAGAGGTCTAGAATCTGGATGGATGGAAAAGTAGAGTTTCACAATGTTATACTAATGAGGTAAAAAAGAGAGACGAGAAAAGCAGTAGTGTAGTAATCGACTGATCGTTAAACATCGACCGACTTTCATGTATAATAAACCAATGTGAGGTGTCTCCAATGTTAAGTGGACCATTAAGATCTTACTAAAAAACCTTGATGTATATGATCATTTAATCAAATGAAATCTACCAAACTTCATATATATGGAGTTTTTACGGTGATCGCAAACATTGTGTTTTTTTTATAATTTATCATAAAGATGGCAAACGAGCAAGCGGCGACCTGAAATCGCTGAAATAGCGAAGCGACCGCTGCCCATACACATACGCAATTGCATATGCGTTGCCTACTACCTATTTTCTATCGTTTATCTATTGTTCTGATGACGTTATCAGCCAGTTCAGCTTGGATGTTATCCATGACCCTTTTCCCCGCGATGGCATATCCCGACTAAGTCCGCTGCCGCCGAGTAATGACGTCATGAGGTGTGAGTTGTATCGTTCCCTATCTTTTGTTATTGTGACGTCATCGTACCTGCATAATCCAGGAGCCGTTCCCGGCGAAGGTATAACCAGCATGCACCAGGTGTCGGTGCCGTGTGAAAGAGCTGAGCAGGTTGCGCATGCACTGCATCAGCGTGTTCATCTGAGGGTGTATCAGGATCTCTGTCACCAGGTTCTCTGATGCGTATTGAATCAGTCGCTCTCCTGCAAACGTAAATGTTAGGTTAGAGTCTAGCTTTAATATCCTTAATTGTTAAATCTTGAATGCCATTTGACTATTTCTATGTCCTAACTCAAGTATTATAAAGTTTTAGTAATTTCTAAATAGTCTTCTAAATTAATCTTAATTTTTTAATATAAATTCATAAATGCTTAACCGTGGGTTTCTGAGACCAATATCCCCGTTGAAAAATTGTCATCTGGGTTTTGTGAAAGATAATGACAGAGGTGACGAGTTTGACATGTTGGTCTCATAAACCCACGGTAAGGACCTAAAAGTTGTATATTTAATCGATAAAACGAGTATTAGATTTATTTTACCAGTTTTATATGAATCATTTCATTATTTAAATTAACCTGATTAGAATATTATGTATCTTTTCTTCATAAGTATAATTTCAAAAATAAAAGATCGTTTCAAGAACATCGTTTTTATTAAAATCATAAATTATGTTAAGAAATTGACATCCTTGATTAATGAAGCGAACTGAAGTATACTTCAAGATTAATTTTATTAGTTCGCGCCCCCTCGTACTGGAGATAATAGGGCTGACCTTGAGGGGTGTCTAGCCTAATAACTTGAGGGGTAAAAAACGCCCTTTTATGTGAAGAGTATCACAAGTTGTTATCGTAAGTACAAGAGTAACAGTTTATATAAATGTATGTAAAGTTTTTATGAAACTATAATTAGATAGTAGATTTAAGCGTTTTCTTAAGGTTTTAAAGTTGTACTCAGAGTTGTAAGTGATACTTTGAGTGGGAAATCTTATAGACTGTTACTGCGGCAGTTAGTAAGATTCTATTTTATCCGTGCTTTTTTCATTTTATTTATTTTTAATATTAGTTTAAAAAATACAAATCTTTCTTCTGTATAATATTAGTATATTCATTTTAAAAGTACCCTTAAATGAAATGACAATGTTACAGTTTAAATTAACTGGAAATTTAAACTTTTAATGGAATTTTCCTATTGAAAGCTTTGAACATTGAAATTGAAAACTGTGTTTGTCAGCAAATTTTAGTAATTAAATTATGTAAATACTAGCAATATTTAGCCAAAATATCTTTTAATTTTCAATATTTGTATTTTTACAAGAAAGTAGTTGTCGCCCGCGACTACATCTGCGAGGGATTAAAAAAAATAATAGCCATGTTGAGTTCTTCCAGACTATGTTCTACATCTGTTTTAAATTTCATCAAAATCCGTTGTGCCGTTCCGGAGATACCTTCTAACAAACATCCAAGTATATGACATGACATCCAGCCAGCATCTTTGGTTACCATATTCGATTTGTCACATGCATATTCTGCTTTCAATTGTTTTTATATTTACTTCTTACTGATATTATAAATGCGAATGTTTGGATGGATAAATGATTATTAAAAGGTATAGAACGGCTGAATGGATCCCGATGAAATTTGGCATAGTTGAGAACATAGTCTGGAAGAAACTAAGCTACCTATTGTTTTAATTCCGGGCGGAAGGAGTCGCGGGTGACAGCTAGCTATGTTTACGATTTAGCGGTTAACTTTTGTTACAATTGGCATTGAATGAATAACAAACTGTTAAATAGTTAACACAATAATATAGGTTATTATAACCTTTGCGTGCCGACGTTAAAATGTTATTCAAAATATTCGTGTCGTTTATGACCTAATTAGAAACGTGAATAGAAACTGTATCAAATTAAAATTGAGTTTGTAACACGCATACGTATAGACGGGAGCGTAGGTGGCTCAGTGGTTAAGCACTTGACTTGTACAAGTCCTGGGTTCAATATTCGATTTACATATGTACATTTATCCGACTTTCCTAGTGTGAAGGAAAACATCGTGGTGCACATATCTGGGAAGAAATTCAAAGATATGTGTGAAGTTAACCCGCACTGGTCCAGCGTGGCTTACTGCATACACCTAAATTGGGTAGGCACTAAAGCCCTAAGTGGGGACTAAGAATACCAAGTACGAAGACTGATGTATGTAGTTCTTAATGCGTACTTTGTTTAAGTATCATACTAAATTGTCCTCATTTACTATATGTTTGATCTAATTTTATATGTCTATATATTACATACTCATCAGCCATTTTATATACTTTATCAAAGGGATTAAATATAATCCCGATAACATAGACCCAAAGTAAAAACAGACAACTTTTGTTAACGATGTAAATAAAAGTTTAAACAAAGGGCCGTAGAGTTTTATCAACTCTTTTATATAATAAGCTTAATACTGTTTAATGGAATTATGGCAATTTGATAATATTCTCTCTCACTCACACACGCGGAAAATCTAAAGTGCGAGAGAGATGAATATATCTGACGTACTTCTTGCTAAAAAAATTTAATTACAGATTTTGCTTCGTTCCAATTTAAACGTGACATTTAATTCTATCTATGTTATTAGTTCCAATCCACACCACCGTTACAAACCGCTACCACCAGCGCCACAATGCCGAAAATCGAATAGGCACAAAATCTACGCCTTATAGCCAGTCCATTCATTTCAAAGATTTTAATTTTTGAAAATTAGAACTGAATTACATATATTTATTGCACGAAAACATAGCAAAAATGTTTGACATGTGTGTCTTATGGTAGTATTTAAAGGTCATGACTATGTTGGTTTAACCTCTATCGAGATGATAAAATTTCTATTAATATACTTGCTATTTAAAAACACAACTTTATATAAGGAACTTCGTATAACTATAAACTTTATGAGTCAATAAAACATTTGACCCAACATTTGCTTTTGCCTATAATTGGCCAAGTTTATGTACATTTCGGGAGTAAATCGACCGCCTAACTGAAACCATTTATTCTGAATGGGATCGCTCAGTCGAGTAGAAACTGTGATAAACCTTCATAGCTGGTAAACCTTCCAGAAACTTCATAAACAACCTCTATAGGTACTTTATACGTATAATTTAATATGTAGGCTTTGAAAATGATAAAACTAAGTAACATTATGTTCTTAAAATGTTTTATAATTGTTTTTGAATAGTAAATTAGTTTAATAAATTATCTTACTTATATTATAAATGCGAATATTTGCATGGATGAAGTTATCTCCAGAACGGCTGAACGGATCTCAATTAAATTTGGCATACATATAGAACATAGTCTGGATGAACACATAGACTACTAACAATGTTTTTTTTAATTCCGCGCGGACGGAGTCGCGGGCGACAACTTTTTGACTATACTAATGTCTATTAGAAAGTTTTTTTTTCATCATAAGGTGGCAAATGAGCGAACGGCCACCTGAAATCCCTGATATAGCGAAGCGACCGCTGCCCATAGACATAAGCAATTGCAAAAAAAGTTTTAAACGGTTTTTAGACCATAAGAAAACAGAAATCGTATACGACGTTAAAATTATACGACTTTTTTCATAAGATGAGCGGGCAAAAGACCAGCTGGAACATCGAGGTATTCATTGCGGCTAATGGACAGACGCAATTTTTTTCTAAAATTAAAAAAAAAACATTTCCTTATTAATACTGGCACTATACGATGTCTTATAAATTTTAGAACATCATAGAAGAAACAAAAAGAACTTCAAAAAGGCTGTGAATGTTAAGTGTACTTGACTATATCTAGAAAATGAGCGTCGATGGCTCAGTGGTCAAGCACTTGACTTGCAATCTGCAGGTCCTGGGTTCGAATCCCGCCATGTACCAATGTGTTTTTCGAATTCCGATTTACATATGTACATTTATCCGACGTTCTTACGGTGAAGGAAAACATCGTGATGCAACCTGCACATATCTGAGAAGAAATTCAAAGATATGTGTGAAGTCAACCAACCCGCTTTTGGCCAGCGTGGTTGACTATGGCCTAATCACCCTTAACTTAGGGTAGGCTCCGAGCCCCTCGGTGGGGACGTATAGTGAGCTGATGATGATGATGATGATGATCTAGAATTAATTAAAAGAATTACATTTTATCTGAACGTAAGCAATAAACGCATGTCATTCGTTCAATAAAGTGTTGTACAGCTCTATCGGCCTTGAGCAAATGCCAAAGGTTTCTACTAAGATTAGGGGAAAGGTTAGGAATTGCTACGTCACGCCTAATAACAGGGTGGGATAGATTGATCGAGCGCCGAGGCAACATCTAATTGGATGAGAGAGGGGAAAATGGAAGAATCTTGTACTATGTAATTTTATTTACACTTTTATTATATTAGTATGTACGTCTTTGTTATGTAGTGACAATGTAGATAAGTTGTGCTATGTACAGACATAATTAAAATTAAAAGTTATCTGTGCGTTTTAGTCAAAAAGTAGAATTTAATAATTACATTTCTTAGAAATGGAACTATCATCATCATCAGCTCAGTATACGTCTCCACCGAGGGGCTCGGAGCCTAAGTTAAGGGTGAATAGGCCATAGTCAACCACGCTGGCTAAGTGCGCGTTGGTTGACTTCACACATATCTTTGAATGGAACTATACCAGAAAATGTTATTTCATATGAAAAGTTGTTGCGTGTGACTCCATCCGCACGGACGCCAGTCAGCCAACCTTAGTCATTTAGGTAATTAGTGTTATCCCTTTTATTCTCGTTGAAAAATACGAGACAAAATATGTTTCTTTGTGAAGAATGTTATCAAATTACAAGATAATTTTCACAGACAACAATCTTAATAAACAACTTTACCTTAAAACCTTATAAAGACCAGGCTCGAGAGCTAAATAAATTACGTGTCTTACAAAAGATGGTCTTAAAATCGGCATCCACCCTGAGGGTTGCTTAAAGTAACCGCCGCGTTACTTTAATTAGAGAGTCTTACTTTGTGAGAAGTTGGCTTATAATTTTGTTTGTTAGAGTAATAAACGTGGTTTTTAATGGAAAAAATCCTTGCTTTAAAAAATATGTTCTTTAATCTTATATATAAAATTCTCGTGTTACGAAGTTACCTAGGACCTCCAAAACGGCTTGCCTGATTTTGATGAAATTTTATATGCATATTTAGTAGGTCTGACAATCGGCTACTTTCTATTTTTTTTATTTACGGCCGGAGTCGCGGGCGAAAGCTAGTATTTTGTAAATTACATTTTACAGTTGACATAATGTTTTTTTAAGGGTATACACTAAATAAGCATAACATTACGCCAACTCATTGAATAAGATAGGCTGGTAATATAGAATTGTGATAAAGTTTGCGGGTGAAGCCGTTAGAGGTCTCTTTAAGATCAATTAGTTTTTCATAGAAATATGTCGATTGATTTTAATTACTTCACGCTTATCAAAATAAAGTAAACAAGAATTTATTTACGAACTGAAAGTAATTGAACTTTCGTTGCGTTACTTAGGATTCCAGAAAATTAGTTTCATTATTAGTTTTATAAAGAGGAATAAAATAGTTCATGGAATTTATTTAAATATTAAATATTTGCGTCCCGGAGGCCTAATTTAGTCCTCTTTCCCTTCCCACCCTTTTCTTTTAAGGAAAGGATGGGAAGTTGAAGTGGACTTTCCGGATGAGAGGATGCATGGAAAGGGAAAATATTTTCTTTCTGTGCATCCTCTCCTCCGTCGATTAAAGGTAGGCAACGCATATGCATTGCGTATGTCTATGGGCAAGGGTCACTTCGCTATTTCAGCGATTTCAGGTGGCCGCTCGCTCGTTTGCCAAGTTATGATATAAAAAAAATATATATCAATTTTTATAATTGAATATTTAAATAAAAAAAAAAGGAAAATGTTTAATATATAGACATTATCTACCGAGAAAACAGAAAGACGTAGAACTAATAACAGAGAAAAAAATTGCTTTATTGCTTATATTTTATAGTTTAAGAGCTAGCAAAGATGTTTTTCGAATCACAAATGACAATAGAACAATACTTAAATAATATGTTTTTGTAGAAAGTATTCTACAGAATGTATCTTTTTAGTTTTAGCATTTTTTTTAAATTTACTAATATCTCTTTTATCATTCCAACTAAGCTATGCTTGTGTCCCAGAACCCCAGATCACCTGATCGGAAATCCGTACTAACTATTAGGCTATTGGCTCTTCTAAATAGGTTATATTTGATTCTGTGTTCAGAATAAGGTACAACAAAATTTAGCTAAAGTTTTTCAAAAGACACATGAAAAGGGTAACTTTATCCGCTTGATTAAGTTTTCACGAAGCGACGCCCCGTGGAACAAATTTACTGTTCTCGTGTGAACTTAAATATTGATACACGAAGGCAAAGATGTTGCCCCAAAGTTGAAAGTTTTATGAACAAAAGGAAAAGTAATATCACAAGTTTTTGGAATAAGAAATTTTACAGATGGAATTAGAAATTGAAATCTCTGAATTATTAACTTTTTTTGTCTGACTTTTATATGTAGAAAAATAAATCTTATTTATTGATAAGTTTTGATTATTATTAAATTTTTAACTTTGAAATTATTAATATTCTAAGATACTCATTTCAGAGTAGAATCATGTATACAGTATGTTCTATAACTTATTGACAATAATCTTAATTTTATCATCAAAAAATATGTTAAAAAATCGTTATTTTATTAATAAGTCCAAATTATACTAGAATATGGTTAACGATAAAAAAAACAAATAGTGGTAATTATTTAATAAACACCCTGTGTCACTTACCATATCTGGCCTCTTCCCCCTCGGGTGCCTGCTCCGCGAGGGTGGCCAGCTCCTTCTCCAGATCCACCTGGTGCTCTCCAGAGTCCCATGATAGCAGCCCTGCAACAAACATACAGACCTATTAATAAAATATAATAAAAAAAGGAATAAGAGGCGAGACAGAAGAGAGTAAGGTGACAAGGTGACTAAGTGACGAGTATACGCAGACGATGGTAGCAAATAGCAATATATATAATATACCAGTCGTCACCCGTGATTGTATCTGCGTTGAATTTTGAAAAGTAGCCGATGTGTTCTTCCAGACTAATTCCAGACAAAAGGCCTAATTTAGTCCTCTTTCCCTTCCCCACCCTTTTCTTATAAGGAAAGGATGGGAAGTGGAAGTGGACTATCCGGATGAGAGGATGCATGGAAAGGGAAAATATTTTCTTCCTGTGCATCCTCTCCTCCGTCGATGAAAGGTAGGCAACGGTCACTTCGCTACTTCAGCGATTTCAGGTGGCCGCTCGCTCGTTTGCCACCTTATGATATAAAAAAAAAATCATCGAGATCCGTTGAGTCTTTCTGAAGATACTCAAACAAACATCCGTCCATCTAAACATTCGCATTTATAAATAAAATTGAAGTATAAATAAACAGTTAGTATATACTTTGATATACTATGTAGTTCAACTATTGTATCCCGCGCTGCAATTTCCGTTATTGCTCGCTCTCCCGCGGGAATATCTTCCTATATACTTTACACCTCAACTATTTCCTCAATAACCGTTTCATAAATATATCATGCATTCAATATTCTATTTTTGTAAATGGAACGGATTTCTCTGATGTTTATTACAACTGAGATATACAAAGACAGTTATCATTGTTAATCCTATTTCATAACTCTTTTGCACACAAATCTGACATAAATTCTAACCGAAGGCAATGAACCCTTCATAAGTCTAAAAAATAGACAAGGTTTTATAAAGAATTAAATATGACTTAAAACACTTTTGTTCGTTATTGTACCACTAGCTGTCGCCAGCGACTCCGCCAGCTCGTTTTTAAAAATAAAACTTAGAAAATAGCCTATGTGTTATTCCAGGCTATGTTCTACGTCTATGGCAAATATCATCAAGATCCGTTGTATCGTTCTGGAGATACTTTCAAACAAACATCCATCCAAACATTCGCATTTATAATATAAGTAAGATTTAAAATTAACGTTCTTTAATCTATTAAGTTCATATAATATTTGCAATATAGAGTGCAAGTTATTGTTATTATAATGAAGCTATTGTCTATTCGAAATAGCATTAGTTGTGAGTGTGGGGGCACTGTTATTGCTACCGTTGTCTGTGCCCCCATGCCACTATCCCTGTGCCCCCACTGGCGTGCCGCGATTGTTCTCCGGATGATGGTATTGTTACAAAAGCGCTAGATTGACTATTATTAAAGATATGCAACCAGCTGAGAGCCTATTCAAATATAAGTTATATTTTGCAAACAAATGTTATGTTTTCATTACTATTATAAAAGAAAGTCGTGTTGTTTACACTATTTATAACTCAAGAACGGCCTTACTGATATGGCTGAAAATTGGTGAGAAGGTAGCTTAGAGCCAGGAGATCCAATTTATGCCTCGAAGAGCTGCTTTTTATTTAACTTACTAATATTATAAATGCGAATGCGTGTTTGAAGATATCTTTAGAACGGCTGAACGGATCTCGATTAAGTTTGAAAGAACACATAGGCTACACTAATTAAGTTTTTTTATATATCCACGCGGACGGAGTCGCGGACGACAGCTAGTTACTAATACTATAGTATTGTTCTGGTTTAAAAGCACCAGATTACCTATATTTATACAAAACACTTTTACTATATTTTAATAAAAACATCTTACATAAAAATTCTCACCTTTCAATGTTAATTACTCTTTCGAAACGTCTTAACCGATTTTTATGAAAATTTTATAATCAATTTTGTTCCGGGACGGAGTCGCGGGCGGCAGTTAGTATAGATATATAATCAAAGCTCTCACATTTTTCTTTGTTATAATGTTATCTTCTTTAAGTCTGTTCCAGAGAGTAATTGTTCCCTACTAATTTAATTTAATTCCTAATTAATTAGAGATAGAGAAGCTGTCCCCTGTCACGAGTAGTCACCGCACTGACGGGGGTCCCTTCAGTTGAAACCAATTTAGCCACAAGATGGCAGCACCCACACAATTACACGGACATTATAGATAAGTGCACTGTACCTTTTTCTTATTGTGTAGCATTATTAGAAAACAAATAAAATTAAGATTTATCAGCAGTACTAAAACCGTCAGAGTTTTAGTATACTGACTGATCGCTAGACGTTCTTACTAATATTGTAAATGCGAATGTTTAGATGGATGTTTGTTTGAAGATATCTCTAGAACGGCTGAACGGATCTCGATGAACTTTGGCATACATATAGAATATAATCTGAAAGAACACATAGGCTACTATTTATGTTTTTTTTTAATATCGGACAGACGGAGTCGCGGTCGACCGCTAGTTATAAAAACAAATTACATACGTCCTTTACTTGATTTCAGTTTTTTTAAGAATTTTATTTTCTAGACAAAAAATTAGTGAAGTTTTAGTACTCTACACCACTCGACTTGTATCTTGCTTCATACACAGTTTAATTGTGCTTAATAGGTCCGTGTTTATTAACTATTAATATTATAAAATATCTCTCCTTTCCATGTTAAATGGAATGAAAACGTTTAATTGCTTTTTGAATGTAACTGACACGCCGTTTCGTAAAACAACGCGTTTTTATGGAAAATATTAAAAAATATCTTTCCATTTTTATTGTCGAATGAATAACAATATCGAAATGAAAATATATTTTTCGGTCGCTGTGAATATTCGTCGTCAACGAACTGCGAATTTATTTGTTTGTTTCCCTTTGGAAAATATTTAATTTTTGATAGTTTAAAGCTACGAAAAGAACAAAATTGTTAAAAAGATGTGCAAATACTGTTTTTAATCACAAATAAAAACATTTTTTCACGTACAATTGCGAAAATTTGAACAACAATAATTATTTAATCGGGAGACCTATAACAATATTACGATTCTACACCGTAATCTAACTAACCGTGGGTTTCTGAGACCCAAATTTTCCATTGAAACATATTCTTATCTCTGTGTTTTCAAAGATAATGACAGGGATGAAGATATGTTTTATAAAGAGATTTTGAACTCAGAAATTTATGGTAAATAAGGTGTAATTAAGAAGATGTTTAAAATCCAATATCAAACAACATTCATATAAAAATATACATATCCAATATCTAGAAAGTTAACTACACAATCAAAACTTTGTCTATTTCTAACAATTAGCCTTACATAATACACGTTACATTGAAAGTCTAGATTCTAGATCTAAACTTCCGTATGAAGATCTAATAAATAACAAAATCTATAGGAAACTTGCAACAGAAAGTCGTGTGCCATTTACTAAAGAAATTTATTACCGACCTTTGTATTGCGTGAAATCACCAGACTACAATGACCCGTGTTTTATATTGAAATGGTAAGAGATTAGGGTTCAAGATATATGGTTGTCTGCATCACTCCAGTTTACAATGACCTGTGTTGTGTCTTGAAATAGTAAGGAACTATGGTTCAACCGTGTTTAGCGTTTGATGTTCCGTAGTTAAGTAAATTGCATAAATATTAAGCAATATGTTAGTAATGTGAAAACGAATGTGAGATATAACCCAAGTATTATATCTTACTAATATTATGACTGTGAATGTTTGAATGGATAGATGTTTGATGGAAGGTATCTCCAGAATGGTTTAATGGATCTCGTTGAAATTTGGCATAGATATAAAACATAGTTTGGAAGGCATAGCCTTCAAATTAAGTTTTTTTATTAATTCCGTGCGAGCGACAGCTATTAACTTCATAAACTCTGCCTTCCCATTTGGGTTACGGGCGTGAGTTGTGGTTATTAACGTGTTTAGTATTCATCTAAAATTTTTCAGGCTTATTTTCAATAGAAAAATTCCATCAAATTAATTTAAAAAGCTTGTGATTGCTGCAGGTCATTGGCCGTAACAAAAATGCAATGAAAATTGTCTGTCAGTTTCATTTCCCAGTAGTACTTCAAATTGTACTGCAGTTTTTTTGTGAATTAAAAGCATTTTAAACGCGGAAGCACGCGAGGTGTCGTGGAATATTGGAATTTCGTGTTAAAATGTTGACTTAATACGAGTTTACACATTTATATCATCAGCTCACTATACGTCCCCACTGAGGCGCTCGGAGCCTACCCTAAGTTAGGAATGACTGGGCCAGAATCAACCACACTGGACTACTGAGGGTTGGGTTCACACATATCTTTGAATTACTTGGCTGATTCGAAGGTTTCTTGCCTTTCTTAAATGCATAGGATATGTCCCTTTTCTTTGCATCTCCTCTCTTGACAAATATCTACCATTCTTACCTTTTATAGATGAAAAGAATTAGAATCGGTCCCCAAACACAACAATTATAATTTACCGATAATTAAAACAAGACTAACATTATGAATGTTATTGTTTAAGATCTAAAATCTTATAAAACCTTTAACTAGATCATGTGTGCAAAGTTCCTATTTCATAATCATATAAAATTAACGAGTCCACACAGATGAAGATGTCTATTGTATAGACAAAGGCGAGTGGCCCATAACTGGGGTTAAGAACCTTTGTTTAGTAACCCGGTCAGGGGTCGGTGCTATTTTTGTGCTATACGACCTCTTTTCACCCCGGACGAGGATTTATTCTATCGAGACTAATGAATAAACTGCTTTAGTGCCGCCATCTTTGATTTACGCGAATTTATATAAATAGTTAGTGTTTTCTGAATGTTCTTACGTTGATTAAATATTTTCAAATAAGAAAACTATTTAACTAATATGAAATGGCATACAGGAAAGCAGCTACTTGAATTCGCCGAAATAGCGAAGCAAGACCTGTCCATTGACATCTGCAATTGCAGATGCGTTACCTACTATTAATCGACGGTGGACGAGACGCACAGAAAGATGATATTCCTAACCTAATGTAAGGTCTTGAACGCATGGAT